ATTACTATGTAATGATTGATATACCTAAAATAAATAAAATATCTGAGGTTTGGACAAAAATTCAAAAGGTACTTTATTTTGAAAAAGTATTTTGAAAATACCTATTTTGCATTTAGTATTTGAAATACAAAACATAAAACTATTTTTGTTTTTAGAGTGACATTTCTATGAATTCACTGTCGATAGCGAGCGGTGCGATGGAAAAAGATAACCGTTTATAAAAATATAATAAATAGCCCTGGACAATTAACACAGACTGATACTGAACTGATATAAATAGATATTTTTATTTTGTAAATACATATAAAACACCCAGACCGATGAAAACAATCGATGACCGATGAGTACAATTGTTTGCACCGTGCGAGAAATCGAACCCGCGACCATCGGATGTAAAGCGGTGTGACCACCGAGGCAGTCGAAATATATAAATAATCTTATGAATTTAATTTATTCTAATTTGTTTGTGTGCGCGGGGTGCGGTGTACGGTGCTCCCCCTTGCCTCCACCGTTGCTGGAGCTTGCATGTATGGAGCATTGCGAATATAAAATATCTAGATTAGTAAATTCATAATTGATAGACCGTTACGGTATCTATATATATTCGGATTAAAATAAGTATCGCAGTAAGGACCAGTATATAAAGTGATCAAGACAATTAATTAATAAATATATATACAGAGCCAAAAAGTCTTTGTGTATTCAAAAAATATCTAATTTGTTTGTGTGCGCGGGGTGCGGTGTACGGTGGAGGGGGGACCCTGCCTCCACCGTTGCTGGAGCTTGCATGTATGGAGCATTGCGAATATAAAATATCTACATTAGTAAATTAATAAATTCATAATTGATAGACCGTTACGGTATCCATATATATTCGGATGAAAATAAGTATCGCAGTAAGGACGAGTATATAAAGTGATCAACATAATTAATTGATTTTTGGAATATATTCAGAGCCAAAAAGTCTTTGTGTATACCAAAAATTTAGCCGTTCGGAGCCATTCAGTCACGAATTATTATATATATATATATCGACGAATATATATGGCCGCATCGCAAAATAGAATGCGACGTTGCCATACCGCCTGAGATATACGCGATAGGAGTCAAGTTATTCAGTGCAAAAGGTGGAATCGGCAAGTGTTTAGGTTGTGGCGTGATCAACAAAGTGCCCAAAGAGGTGTTTATATATATATATATATATGTTATATATATATATATATAACATTATGTTAAAAGATTCCACAATAGGTAGTACAAATCCTTCTTAACAACAGATATATATTTACCATTAAATTCGTTTTCGACTGTAGTAAAATTAATTGCCACTACCCGTATTTTCATAACAGTTTCTAACTGAAATATTTGAATACAGAACACATTCTTAACTGCATAGGTACTTGTGTAAAATTTGGATGAAAATTAAAATTAAGCGAAAGTATCGTTGAATTTTAATTGTAGAGTTTAGAAGTTCGATGTTAAATAATTGCAGTTGCAGCAATAAACATGTCTACAATTTGTATAAATACGTTTTTATAATATATTTTCACCCCTACCTTAACATCTATAGATGTCAATTCTCATCGACTTTTCAAGAGGTACCTACATTTAAACTTAGTTTACAAAAATTTGAGGATAAAAGAATTAAATATTATTATTACATTTATATAAAAATACATAATACAATGAATTATATTTTATTTTAATGTGTTCAAAATAAAGAATATTGTATAAACAAACAATAATATAAATTTCAGTATTATGGCATGTAATGAGTATTTACAGACAGATATGTCAAATTTGTATTATATATGTAAAAAGTTGAACTGAATATTGCGTAGATAAGTACTGGCCTACCTAATATATCTACCATCACGATCTTGAAACGATTTCGACGAGATGAATACTATTTTTAGATTTCATCTAAATTAAAATGTAGGTATATATATTTACCTCCTAAAAATATATATACCTACATTTTAATTTAGAATATAAAATAATCTCAAAAGAATTATTCGATTTTGTTCGTCGATCAATAGCATATCATTATGTGGCTGTTACCAGGAAATAATAATAATCTCAGGATTTTTATGTTGATGCACGATTTTTGCACTTATGCGGAAAGAAATAACGACTTTAAAGTTTTTATAACAGTCAGGTGTTGTACAGCACACCTGCCTACTACAAATACTCCGTTAAGTAATGAAATCTGGAGGCTTCTAAAAATAGTATTCATCTCGTCGAAATCGTTTCAAGATCGTGATGGTAGATATATTAGGTAGGCCAGTACTTATCTACGCAATATTCAGTTCAACTTTTTACATATATTACAAATTTGACATATCTGTCTGTAAATACTCATTACATGCCATAATACTGAAATTTATAATCGTGCATCAACATAAAAAAATCATTGATTATGTATTTTTATATAAATGTATTATTATTTCAAATTTTTGTAAACTAAGTTTAAATGTAACTTGAAAAGTCGATGAGAATTGACATCTATAGACATAATGAAAATATATATGCTATTGATCGCAACTGCAATTATTTAACGAACAAAATTTTCAAATTTTACACAAGTACCTATGCAGTTAAGAATGTTTTGTATTCAAATATTTCATTATTTTATGAAAATTCTGGCAATTAATTTTACTACAGTCGAAAACGAATATAATGTTAGGATATATATATTTTTGACACAAAAATTTTATCAAATATATGTCTAATTAAAAACTAGCTGTAGAGTATTTATTACAGCTGACAACGTATATAAAATAATTGTTATTTTCCTTAGGGTACCCATCACGTGAATATATGAAATTTGATAAAACCAATGTGTCGAAAGTTTATGGTACGTTCATTATAGATATTTCAATTTGAAACAGTTTTAAAATCAATGAATCTCAGCAGAATGAATGAATCCTGATCTCGTAACTCTGACTTATTGCCTCTTTTTTATTGTATGCCTGTAGTACATTAATCTTCTAGTACTATCTAATATCGCAACATATTATTTATTTTCGATTGGTAATTTTGGGTTAATTGACCTGATGTCATTTTCATCCACGCCAGGCAGAGGCATTTCACTACCATTTATTAAAAAAATCGTTAATATTACCACATATGAATTCTTTAAAACTATAAATAAAATAGTGAATTGTTTCTTATCAAATTTTACATTATTTTTTCAATAATCCTATTTGGTAAAGTTAAACAACCTTATGCCTGTATAGAAACGTATCTATAATATATACGTGTATTGAAGTAATAGGGCATAACTCGCGTCGTCGGCCGCTCCCTTCCTCAATTATCCAATTTCCTTGACAGATATCGACCTAGTCTAGGACTATTCATTACTACTACGCAATCAAATGCTGTTTCTGAGTATCAATGTTTATAAGTTTACAACTTCAAAATCTACCTACATGTATGGCATACCTATAAATTGATACTCCATTTATCGTATCTCCTCAATTTCTAGACACTCTCCTTGATATCAAGCCAAATCTCGAGATCCTTGGCCTTGATATATCCAATGACGTACAGTTTTCACTTATTTTCTAAATGACCATTTTAGGTGTGCTTGCATCAATCTAGCTCGCAATTTGAATTTCAGAATAACTCAAATATTGTTGACCCAAATATTTTTACTTACCCTATAGCAAAAGAAATCGTAGTGTCTAAGTAGGTACAATGATTTTCGGCAATGAGCTAATTGATCTCACTTCATTTTAATCTTTTCATCTTCTACTGGTGACTTGCAGTGGCAAGTTTAATATATAGTGATATACTATTAACGTAGTCTGTATCACCAATCTATCGTTGTATACAAAACATCCATCCGATATAATTTACAAAACATCAAGACTTACCTACCTCTGCAAAAGTATCTTATCATAATAATAAGAAAATACAACCACAATGTTAGAAAATTTTGACTGTGATACTACTTTTAGTAAGATGAGATCACTTATCTGTTGAATCACACATCCTGTGTGTACTTTCATCTTCTTAAGATAGTACCTAATCTATCCAATATTTATTCAATTATTATAGTAAGAAATTCAAAAAATTATTTATTAAATATATATACGTGTATATATGTTATCGTTAGACTAATGTAGGCTATTTAAATATTTATTTATTTAGGTAGATATTTACATATAGATTATAATACTAAGGTATATTTATCTTATAGCTATTTAACCTTGGTAATGCAAGATATTTCTATATCTTATATATGTATATGTATATCATCGACATTGTTTAAATTCCCACGAAGCTGACATTCAGGCGGGAATTTGCCTTCAGCCGCTCCATAAGTCCTTTCGCGGGTTTGGAGTGCCATCTGCATTAACCCCCTATAGTCTGCCCTTATAAACTGTAGTCAGCTATGGCCAACAACAATAGAGTAGTCTGAAAAAAAAAGCTGATATCGCATTTTTCATAGTGACCACTGGGATTATGTAATATCATCAGTTCATAAAAGTCTCTAATTGTCCATGTGCAATTATAAATAGTCCGACCTCTCCCGATCTAGACCTTGACGTTTGTTTCATCATAATATCAGTATCAGGCAGCTAAAAGGTTACTAAGATAACAGAAACATAGCTTTATGTTATATGAATAAAAATAGTACGTATTTGGCATTGGTTTACTGATCATTGGGTGTACTTAATATAGTTGCTTTTATTTTGTACATCCTGGCATAAGTTGCGTAACAGCTGTAACGAACCTTGCAACAAATCTAAATACGGATATGTATTTATAAAAGAATGAAGCTATATCCTTCATAAAGAACAAAGATTTGTTGAATCTGTCATCGATTGTTGAATCAATCCACGGAACTCATCGATTAAGTCTGAAAGATTCATAAATTATTTTGTGGCTTTTGGAGGAAAATTTAGAGTTTTATGAATACTGTCACTGAATTTCGACTTGTTATATCGTGAGTCGTGGCCGTAATATCTTGTATAAATAGTTATCCGTTTCAGTCTGTGACATTTTGAATTAAGAAATAATTATGAATTGTGACGTCGGGAAAGATAGTAGTACAGTGGATAAAGAAGTTGAGGTTGGTTGAGGAGTGATGCTGGTGCGGGGATGTGCGGGGGGTGAGCTGCGGCACTCGTTGGCCGAGCGGACAAAAGCGTTGGCGGCGCGCTGCCACGCGCTGCGCTCGCCGGCGCGCGCCGACCAGCGCAGCGCGGAGCGCCGCCGCCCTAGGCACCGCAAATCGCAAACACGCTGGTATGTCAAGGTAAGTTGGAAATCTGAGATGATTACCAAAGCAACTGACTTAAACTGCCCATAAACCACCAGGAGCTGTTCTTGCTATTTGTAACCATTGATCCCTATGTTGGAGGCTGCAAAAGTTATCCGCACTGTGCTTGTACTGGGGATCATCATTAGTTTTGGGTTAAGTGATCGGTCGAATTTCATTTCAGGTTATTGCTTCTTCCGGCTATATAAGGTTGTCTTACAATTAGTATTAGAAGCGTTTTAATGAAATAATAAAAAAAATATCCCAATTGCTTATTACTTCTAATTAATCATAATGAAATTTTGCATGTGGATATTTGTATGTAATTATAATGTGGCGTAGTTATACTATTTCAGTTTCGTGCAAAATTCTTGGGATGGGTGTGATCTTTCATAAACGTTTCACATTTTATTGTTTGTAAGTTGTTTAAACAGATTTTTTATACTAATGTATGTAATATTAATGTCGCATTTTTATGCTCACGGTCTTTTAAATAAGTTTAATCAGCAACTTACGATCCGTGATATTTTGCCCGCTCAACCACCTTGTTGTTACGACATTGTATGTAGCATTTGACATCTTTTATCATCTTTTATCCTTTTCAATAATAGTCACACAGATAAATAGGAGATAAGTAATATTAGTAACTGGATTCTCTTCTGAGGTAATTTGTTACCGATTCTTCCTATTGAATCATTCAATACAGTGATTAAACGTATTTATGACCAATGTCACTGATTCATTCATAACAACGTCATGTTCGTCTAATTGGATGTATTCAAGTGTGAACGTGTCAACAAAGAGTGACGAGATGAGATTTTATACATAATCGTTCACAAGTATAATCCTAAATCTTCCATAATTCTACTGAATTCAGTGGACTCCTCAAAGCTAAGTCGACATTGTTTGTTTTGCTATTGACACCAGATAAATATTCATGGGTTCTCACTTACAACTTGTGAACTCCCATTTTTTTCACACCCACATAGACCCCCAGTGCTTCAAGTCAAACTAGACCTGTGGAGCACAGGGCGTCCACATGGAGCACTTTAGACAACACTTCCCTAAAGTTTCGATTAAACAAGTAAAAATAATAAATTGCATTAACATAAAAATATCAAAATATTGGAAATTGACTTTAAACAAATAATATTATAACGCCGATCTTCCAAAGTTTGTAATTTTTTAGTTAATTCAGGTTGATTACTATGCATGTGAGTCGTCTAGAGCAAATAACAAAGGAGTAGCGTCAGATATAATAATAATAAACGTTTAAATATATAAATATCATCATATCATATTTTATAGATTTTTTATGTATAATTATTTGCGGTTGTGTTTATTGTAGGTTACATTTAGTTCTGTGGTGTAATTCATACGAGTGTATTGGTTGTTCGGTACATTACTCATATTATTCTGTTTAGTTCGTAGTACTGTTTCTGTTTTATGTAGCCTCGCTTTGTATCTTAGGTAACGTTTATTTAGTTACAATTTTGTTTAGTTTGAAAATACCAATGCGGCTGTGCGGACTAGTATGCGTTGTTTGAATTATAATTTAATTACATTAATTAGTGGCTCCTATTTGTCGGTGTTTGTTTTCGAAATTATTATCAGAGTGTCTTATCGTGTGCTTGTCTGCAGGCTTCGTTAGCAATGCAGGTCAAGGCTTGTCTTATGTGAGTGCTTGATGTCAGTGTATGCACATAACTATGTTGGTTGGTAGGCGGCTTTCAGCGGCAGTACTCAATGCAATCAACTGAGCGTACTCAAAAGGTATTCGTATTGTTATAATATTTGTAGTGGTCAATATTCCTTGGTCAAAAGCACTAGGTGCAATGTTATAAAAAACACTTGTCATATTATAGTTCATTAAGTACTTCTTTTACAGAAATCGAGTATATAATTGTTACAATTCAATTCAGATTGATGTCGTCATGATGTCAATTTTTAACCCTTTATTGTCAAATGGTATATATGATTTATTATAATAATATACATACATACATATAAACATGTTATACTGAGACAGGCAACTGGGGATTGTAAGACTCTTAATCAGTAAAAAACTACACGGGCTTAATTAAGGCGGAGTACTGCCGGAGTCATGGGGTTGTAAGCATCCTACCTCGTTAGCTCTTCTGATGTAACGACTATAAAAGGTAGTAATAACTTCCTTATACCTAATTGGATCGTCAATCGAATTTGTTCATCTTATATATGGCTAATTGTCACCTCCAGAGTTGAATCATGTCGTGGATCATATGGTGATTTATTTACACCGTCACGCGGCCTTCATTATAACTATAGTAGTAATTATATTCCGTATGTAGGTATGAGCTAAGTAAATGTTACGTTGTTATGAATCACTACTACTGCCACATGCTATGATTCTTGTTCGTTTTCCGTTATTGAATTTTATAGACACCCATGTATTAATTATGTTAACTGTACTCATGACAACTCCATAGTATAGTGTTGTCTGAATTTTCTCATTTGTTGTGAGAAATTACTGTAAGTATAAATATTGTGCAATAACTGTGGTTAAATTTTATATTGTTGGCACTTTTTATTAGTTTATAATAAGTACGTAATACTAAGTACTAGAAAGTAATTCTATTAGACATTTATTTCTCTTATTTTGTATAAACGATAACATTCATATAATATTGTTTGTAATATAGTAGTCGTAAATAAATGCCGAATTCAGAAAATGTGACATGAAATAGTACAGTTTTGGACTCACATGTCATCATATTTGACTAAATTATTAACGAAATTATGCGTATTCCTATTCGTGCACTTTAAAAATAAATCACATTTGCATGAACACGAAATTTCATTACATATTTGTTGTATCTGTAGATCTTCTCTTAGTAATATAAAATGATTTCACTGTTTCTTATCATTTACTGATACCACTGTTATCAAAAGAAATTCATTATATTCCCCTGATTACTAAGGAAGACAAATAAGTATATATTTTTGGTTAGATTTCTTTGTTGTATCTTTTGGAAACCACGCGATTTTTTTTCTTTTATTTGATAATCATCGATCGAAACAACTACACAGTATATATGTATATATAGATTGAGGAACTTTGCAATTATTCGCATCTAATTTTAGAACATTTTTCTATTGTTAAGTTGGATTCCTGGGTAGTGATGCTTTAGGACATAGTTTCCTCTTCTGATAGTCCCCAGTAACTACATATATCAGTTGTTTTGTATCTATACTATAATCTCAGTTTGGTTATGAGTATTTAATACTCTGAATAATTCTGAATACCTATATATTTTTAACTAGCTGTACTCGCGACTTCGTCCGCGTAGAATTTAACTATACTTCCTATTACATCAGCTACCTGGCAAAAAAAGTCCTGTCAAAACTGGTTCAGCCATTTCAAAGATTAGCCGGAACAAACAGACAGACAGACAAACAAACATTTATATTTATGTATTTAGATATACATATTCAATGCATGTTTTATTTCAATATTACAAACAGACACTTGATTATATTTTTATATTAATTGTTTTACTTTTGATTGTATTTATATTATTATACATTGATATATATTACTTGAATCGCTTTCCCAAGTAGACTATGTATAGATTATATTAATACGTGAAGCAAACACTTTGTACCCCTTTATGTGTAGACGGAGGAGTATGAAATTTCTCACTCTTATAGCTTAACTAGAGAGAGCAGAATGTATTTGACACACGGCATATATACTCTTTTGTCTATGGTTAGTCTGTGGTCAAATTGAGAATAAATTAATATTATTTTTCTCTTATATTGTTTGTCTAGTCTTACTGAAGGTCAAACATAACCATTATAAATTCACTAAGTTATATTAGTATTGACATTGGACATTGACTTTAATTTTTGTAATTTATATTGTAAAACTTTAAGTTGGACTAAAAAGGACTTGTATCCAGAGCCGTGAACAAATTAATAAAAAAAATAATGCCAAATTTGTCTCGCAATTAGCCAATTTAAAGAAAAAACACATAACAGTATACTCTTTTATCATAAAAAAGTGTCACAAACTATATTTACGCGAAATGTCAACGACACATGTCATATGTCACAGTTCTTTGTGATGGATCTTTGGCGCGAACGCATGCGTAGTGTTGATTTGTTGTTAGCTAGTGACATGAAAAGATGGCGACTGCAGTTTGTTTGTCAGTGTCATTATAATTTAACGAAATACTCCATAATCCGAATTTTGCGGATATATTTTGTTATTCACATAAGGTTTCGTTCGAGTTACCGTACCCCTTGACGGAATTATTAATGTAGATAAGTATTTAAAGTAATTATGGTCGAATTTCGTCTACTAAGCAACCACTAGTATCAATAAGTTAGTAATACAGCACGTAGGGGAAGCTTCTTTTCCCAGTATGTATATTGAAACTGTCACATGTATTGAAAACAAGTCTCTTTGTCCCAAGTTGTCAATAATTATAAAAAAAACAATAAACTATTGGCTTTTATTTATTCAACCCATTTGTTCTACCCACCAAGTCAAAACTCTAGTCCGTGGGGTCATTTGAGCATATAGGTACTATATGTACAGCGCGGCAACACTTCGACTTTTAGATAAGCAATGATATCCCTTTAAACTAGAGTTGGTGAACACATCTTTCGTGTTGTTGATTTAAGTTTTTTTATCTTATATATAAAATTCTCGTGTCACAGTTTTCGTTCCCATACTCCTCCGAAACGGCTTGACCGATTCTCATGAAATTTTGTGAGCGTATTGAGTAGCTATCGGCCAACATCTATTTTTCATCCCCCTAAATGTTAGGGGTAGTCCACCCCTAAATTTTATTTTTTATTTTTTAGACAAAATTTTTAGTTTCCATTTTTTTATGATACAACATACAAAAATACATACAATCCTAAATTTTCACCCTTCTATCATCAACCCCTATTTTATTTTTATTATATTTTATATTATTTTATAGCGTTATTAATTTATATGGCAAAAC